GGACTCTGCCCCCTACAAAAAAATGCACGTCTGTTCAGCTTGGGGAGGGAGTTGAGAGCACCGCAGATTTCTGATGTCATGGGGGTACCGCACCATCACGTTTCTTATTGGGGAGTTTCTTACAATGTGGCCGAGATCGAGCTATATTTCTTAGCCCTTTTTACTTATTTTTCGTACAAAGTTGAGCCTTTTTCTTACAGAATTTTTCTCAACTGAGGGCGCTATCTGTATTTGTACGCGAAGGGAAGGGGTGGCGAGTACCGTGAAACGCAACACCTCCTTTCGAAGACCGTTCATTCGTTTACTCATGAAAATCAACAGAGCCGTAGAGCCAAGCCGCGGGGGGAGATTCAGGGAAATCTTCGCGATGTGTGGAAGGAAAAGCCATCAGGGTAGCTTGTGGTCACCGCCGGGACAGTGATATGTACTGGTGTTCCTCGGTGCGACGCTGAAATACGCTCGTTTTTTTTTCGTTTCAAAAGAATGATATATATATATATATGTATCTCTACTTGGACTTTCCTCCTTCTTCCGCTGTCGGCTATGCAGTACATTAGTTGGCCAAGTACAAACTGGTGTACTGTACTTGTTTTCAACACGTCCCCGACTGCTGTACATCTCATGTCAAGCATTGTTACGTTCGACGTCCAGAAACGGTTGCCAGTCGTCTCGGCGATGCTGACTTTTCGTACCACCCCCTTCCTGAGCAAAAGACGCGTAGTTTGAAGCATAGCATGCTTCCATTGGCCCCGGGGATGGTGAGCTATCGTCCCCTGAATTTTAAGGACGNCTTGTTTTCAACACGTCCCCGACTGCTGTACATCTCATGTCAAGCATTGTTACGTTCGACGTCCAGAAACGGTTGCCAGTCGTCTCGGCGATGCTGACTTTTCGTACCACCCCCTTCCTGAGCAAAAGACGCGTAGTTTGAAGCATAGCATGCTTCCATTGGCCCCGGGGATGGTGAGCTATCGTCCCCTGAATTTTAAGGACGCAACCCCGCTTAAAGGACGCTTTTCTTCAGCAGGAAAAACCACGTGCGTCCTTTAAGCGGGGTCGACTGCATGTGTTTCTCAAGTAGTCGAGAAACAGACCAAAACCAGCCCACCTTCTTGTCAATGAACTTTTGAGCGAGCAGGTCCCCGAGCGCGAAGCCGGTCATAGAGGTGAGCGACTTCGTGAGGAGCGGCTGCGACGCCAGCAGGCTCATGTATGCCGCCCAAATGACACCAAGGCCCTTGGCCTTCTTCTCTCCATCTCCCTCGGCAGACGAAGATGCGCCGAGCGGAGGCACCTTGCCGTTCCCGCCGCCCCCATTTACACCCCCGCCGTTTGAGTTACTATTTCATGGCGGGCAGAAAAAAATGGCCGGGAGGATCGACGCCGACAGGGCAGAGACACAAAGGGGTCGAGTCGTGGGCGGTGTGGAGGAAAGCTAGACGCTCGTTGGGTGCATGAACGGCGTCGGTTTGGAGAGGCGAAAGGTTGAGGATTCGAAACCAAAATCCCACATCCCCTCTCTCCCGTAACTATCTTGAAGAGAAAGAGGGGGCGCTGGGGTCAGGGCTTCTCATTTGATGCGATTATTTCCTGTGCTCAAAAACGTTGACGTTGCACAACTCCCAGACGATGCATACATCAGCTAGAAAAACCTCCGGAAGGGGTGTTACAGAGCTGGTACGCTGCCGAGGCGCGACGGCCAGCGATGGCACAGCACGTCGGCTGCAACACGCTGCTGTCCAAAATGGCAGTTCGGAACCTCCGTGTCTCATACGCGTTCGAGGCAGATTGAAGTCGCTTTAGCGTCGGATTTCTCGCTCACCCCTTCCTGCTGCCCCCTCGAAAGATGTTAGTGATCTTGGACGACACGCTCTGAGGGAGTCCACCCTTTTTGGAGCCCCCACCTCCCAGGCTCATCATGACGTCGCCGCCGCGCGACGCGAGTATCGCTGGCGCCGCGGCGGCAACGACGGAGCGTTTGGAAACGAACGTGCTGCTGCTTGCAGGCACCGCCGCGGGCACGAATGCGTCTGTGCTCGCGCAAAGCGCTCCTGCGCCGACGAGAGCAGTGGTGAACTTCATGGCTTAGGTATCTTGTGTGCTGTTTCTAGAGATGGTCTCCTGGAGGTGTCTGTGAAGCAGGTATGTAGTAGTGTGGGGAACGGAATACAGAACGCGTTGGTTTTGGAGATTTGGAGTTCAGGGGGAGACGGGGAAGATAATAGGGCGGTAGTGCAGTGGGGCGGGGTCCCCGGTCCTCTCCACATGGACAGATGACAGCAGTGCACAGGGTATGTATCCTGATCCAAATCCATGCCATGTCTCGTCTCTTTGCCTCCTGGGTGGGCCGGCGTGCTTCCGACCAGACGATTGTACGCGCGGTACGCGCATAACTGCTACATTACTGCGGGTGTGCAGCTGAGGTGCTGATACGGCAGTTGCGCGCTAACGGGTTGGTTTACTACCCTCTGGACTAGACTATGGGTTTTGTTCGGGACCTCAGAGCTTCTCGGTAAAACAAAAACACAACATGAACAGGCACGGAGTAAATCGAGGTACACTGATGAACACAACATTGCTGTATAGTAAAACAAAAACACAACATGAACAGGCACGGAGTAAATCGACGTACACTGATGAACACAACATTGCTGTATAGTACTGACTGCGTGCGGTGGAGCCCAACGAGTGCAAGTGTCTTCCGGACATACATACATACATCATCAGTCGAGTACCGATTTTAGTGAGCATGGCGGGCTGCTTGCATGTAATGAACCAGTATGTAGCGATTATACACAACATAGCAACAGTAATGTTTTCTATAGTGCCGGCCCGCTCGCAAGAAACACCTGTTTGAGGAAGGCTCAAAGCCTTGCAGAGAAGAAAAATGAGAACTTCTTCGAAGTGTCAGAGGCTTTCATCATTCGGCGTCGAGCTGGATCAATGACACCAAAAGATTTATTGTTTCGGACCAAGGACACGGCATTTGCCTTGTTTCCCTCTATTCATATTGTTCCAGCCGAACGATTTCGTCTTGGTTTTAATAATGATGGGTGCCGGCTCCTTGGAGTAAGAACGGAGCGCGCATGCATGCATGCCCCTTAATCCAGCCTAACTGACCTCAGAAGACAACAAGCTTTTAGGTAAACAGCACAGAAGGCAATCATCTCTAGACTCCGGGAGACCATGTAGCACTTGACGGGAAGCGCCGTTCGAGACTGGAGTTTGGGCTGAGAAATCGCCGCCTTCGAAAACGTGACCTAAGCACTTTGGCCCACAAGAAGTGGTGGCCTGAGAGAACGTGACCCCAAGAACTCGTGGCCGAAGAAATCGCGTCCATAGAAATCCTGTCCTGAGATCGTGGCCTACGAGAGTGTGGCCCCAAGAGGAATCCCCGCCCAGTAAATCGTGGCCAAAGAAAGTTTGAGTCTAACGTTTTTTTCTGGATTTACGTGCACTATGCTCCATGCCACAGAGTCGTGTTTTCCTCGATGGGCGAATCCTTAAAGTCTTGCCATAACATCACCACCTCTGACCCAAGCATAAACCCTCGTACTCACTCGGCCACCAACTGGAGGAGAACAACACACAACCTTAGGCACACCACACCACCGACGTGAACCGATTGGGAGCAGGGGAATGTGCTTCCTTCAATAGCACTGGGCTTGGCCGACTATTAGCAGTCTTCGTGTCGCTTATCCCCCCTTCGTCCAGCCGCCTAGACTACCCAACGGATGGATTTCGATATATCTTGTTCCGAGCCCGTCCAGCTCAGATTCAGAAGGTGTATCGCGTTGCCGTCCACCCATCTTCTTGCTTATTATCTACGCCCAGACCAGTTCTAGGCACGGGGACGGGGGCAGGGCATGAAGTAAGCCACATACCATCTACATTTCAAGACCTTACGGTCAGCGTCTGTTGCAGGCTACAGAGAAAAATAACGCTGCAGCGTACAAATGTACGAAACACGATCCACGGGATGGATGTCGCTTTAAACCCTGGCACCATTCTAGCTGCACCCAACCTACGGCCACCCCGTCGCCGCAGGCCTCCGCACTCACCCCTCACCACTACCTGAAGGATCCCAACCACTTATATGGCCAAGCCCTGCATCAGGCAAGGAGCTTGATGTGGACATCTACAAATGCCGGCTTGAAACTGCGAGGATACTTTGCGTCCATTTACGGCACTGGCATTTCTTAACTCCTGTCGGTACTCTCGCCTCACACAACCTACAACCACGCCGTCAAGGCGATGCCTCCGCACGCACCCTCCGCCGATATCTGAAGGCCCCCGACCTGCTCCATCATCAAGCGCTGCAACCCGCTCACGACGCCGCTAGCAAACACCAACGCAAATGTCCTCACTACCGCGGGCCTCTCTAACCGACGTAAAAGCCAAACTTTCTACAGGCAGGCCACCTATTGTTCGCGCACATCATGCGATGTACATATATATATCTTGCCAGTTCTCACATTTTGCTGTGTGGCAGGACTCACATTGTCACCCGTGGCAAGGGTGCCTTGCACGCGTCAACTTGAGATTTTGGCTACAGGACATACTCCCGACTAGGGTTGAAAGAAAAGCTTACAGAAACCCTGTTTCGCCAGAAAGAAATCAGCAGCCGAGGACATCGCCATTGTACTCAGCCCTTGTCCGAACGACCGACTGTGAATCTGGGGGCAAACATGGACTGGCGGAAACCGCGCTGCTTTGGCAAAAAAGGAGCAGCATAATGGCGATCCATCATCATATCATGCCCTGGCAAGCACGTAAACATTACCGGTGTCTCGCTCCAACGAGCGTGCCGTCAATACACGCATGTCGTCATCGAGGTACGATAGCGTCCATAATCCCGCTTGGTCGAGCTCGTTCTTCACCAGCTGTTGCCCAAAAAGTAAAAACGCGATGCTCTTGAAAACAACCTGAAATGTAGCGTCCAATCAGCGTCCAACGGCGAAAGAAGTGTGAAAGATGGAGGAACTCTACCGGTGCGGGGAAAATTTGATCGTGAAGGCGGGCGGCAACGAACAAAACGCTTCCCGACACATCGAGCACGCCGTATAACATTTTGCAGCATTTCACTGTTGACCCCCAACACCTCTTGGTGGAGGATTAGCAGATTGGCATATTGTCAGCTACTAGTTGATGCATCCACAGCAGTGATACCGGTACGTGGGATGCTCCAAGTCGCTCATACTATATATATATGAAGTATGCATATCGTACGTTTGCCATGACAGTCTCGGTTTCCAAACTGGTATCGCCTGTTCACCTTCCATTGGCTCTTGTTGACAACGTCCCACGTCGCTTCCAGTCTACCCGTTAGGGGTCCGAGCCGAACGTAGTTTACATACAAGCCCTCAGCGATGTCGACTTCCTGCTGCACCTCTCCAATGAAAGGCCCAAGCTTACCACCAGACGCTCCCGGTGTGGTGGTGTAGATTAGATCCCATGTTCCTGTGGGGTAAGGCGCAAGAGGGCACTGAAGCACTGAGGAGAGACCATCGACGCACTCAAGAAACTTGGGTGGTAAGCTCCCCACGTGATGCAACTCTAGGATGAAATCGAACCGAGGCTAACACACCCGTGGCTAGCTCCGATGTGGTGATGTCCTTGGTCGGGTTTGCAGCCGCCAGACCGTTGATTGCTTTGGATATTGCATCCCGTTGCTGCGGTGTCGCTTTCAGTCCATTCGACGTCCCCGCAGCCTCTTCAAGGATCGTCTCCTTCAGGGCTCGAACCTGCTGGCGCAATGAAATAGTAGTACGAACCCCGCAGTATAACATGATCAAAAGTGAGTTCTACCTGTGGGCGTTCACTTGAGACCCTTGATGAAACTAAAGCAGTAGATTACACACGAGACTCCACATGTACGCATGCATGCGCTGTAGTACATACGAGATTGTTCCCAAAAAACTGTTCGTGTGCTCTCTTCTACCCGGCCACCTCGCGATGATAACTCCATCATGAGAAATGGGGCACTATCGGCCATGTCCATCCCCGGTGCCCCAGCCGCGAACATACGGCACAAAGATATCGGCAAACAGATATCTCAAAGGGAAGTTACACACACTCACCTCCTCGACTGCAACCTCGTCGGCATGTTTCGCTTTCAACCGGGGCAAAACTTGGTCACGTTGTTCTGCCACCGGCAATCTCCATGGGACTTTCCCTGTAAAGGCCGTAGAGATCGGAATAAACGCTGCCAGGAGAAGGCACAGGGGGAAGCGGGTGTGTCTGGTCGAAATCATCCGCGCCTAGATAGCAAGCTTGTTCCTGTGTGGCGTTCTCTGCTCTGCTCTACATCTCTCGACATGCACGGCATCATCATGTCACAGGCTCTGCACGGAGCCCCCTCCGTAGGTACCCGCTTCCAAGAGGCACCGTGCAGAATTTGCGGTTAAATGTTCATGCGCATGCAGCACTCACAATTTTGGTGGCCGCTATTACCATCATTTCGTCTACCTTTCGCCGTTTTGCAGGCTCGCCCTGCCACACCCTGCCACACCATACGTAAGCGGTTGTCAGTTTTTGTACCGGGGACTTGGTACGCCGGTGAGATACGTAAACTCGTAGTCTATTTACATATCCATACATTGTAGTGTCACTGGGTTACCGCCGAGACTGTCAGCGGCACTGTCAAAAAGACGTCCACACATGCAACGGCTTTTATGGGACTACAGCCAGAAGTCTAGTCTACGCTGAACGTTTTGGCGAGAACCTCTCTCTGGGCGACGTCACGTTTGCGCATAATAGGTGTCACATTTTTGCTGCGCTGTTGCAAAAGTGCAGCTTTGGTCAAGTGAAGTAAGTGATACTGAATACGCGACAGAAATAGAGCGAGACCAAACGAGAGAATTTCTGAGAAGCCCTTGGCAAATAGTGTGTTTTAAACACCGCAAAGAGGAGCGTCGAACCTATGTGTACGTCCTGCCGATTACCACAACGACTACTTCGAACTGCTGTAGTTACTGAGTATTGTGGTGGCAGACCGACGTATGTAAATCGAGGTGTAATAAACAAAAAGTCGGTGAATGTTCGCGTCACTTGTTTTGAAGATGAACAGTTTGAGCACTGGCTAACCCCCCGGCGAACAGGGTCTATCTCTTCGCAACAATTGGTGGTGGTGCTGTGGTTGCTAGCAGAAAAATAGAGAGGTCAATGGCAGGCGAATTATGCTCCATCATGTGCTTGATTGGGAGCATGAAGTGCACTTAGCTATGCAACAGTGGTGGCGGTAGTTGACATGTTTACTCATGTGCAAGGGATCGAGGGGCCTAATGTACTAAGACACAGATTCGGCGTCATGGGATGTTCATTAGAGCAGGAGAGAAAGCACGAGATAAGTGTAAATATGTAAAAAATGGCATCATTTGGACGGAGTCGTTCTCATCATTTGACTCTCACAGGAATACATCACCTGGAGATGAAAGCCTGACGACAAATGTCGTCCTTCGTTGATCTGTTGGCCACTCCCCGCGCTCGATGTTGTTTGACAAACTCCGGATCACCGAAATTTTTTATCAATCTACTCAATGAGCCCACTCGCCACCCCCCTTATCCTGCCCGTCCAGGAACGCGATGATCCCAGCGATATCTCCACAGGTTCGGGTAGGAACCTTGGGAGCATCGCTGAGCTTCGCAGGAGAAGCTGTTCAAAATGGTCCCGGACACGCCAACAATATGATCCTCACAAGCTTCGACGATCGCACCACGAGGACTATGCCCTCTTGGATGACGCCCGCACCAAAAATGTTCCCCAGAAGCAAGCGGCATCAGTTGACCAAAACAAGAATACCTTCAACTGGTCTGGACGGGCCCGGGCTGCACTACTCAAGCAAGACCGCGGCATCAATGCCGGGGAACGACGGGCTGCTGGTGCGCGGAGGAGGAGGAGGAGGAGGAGGAGGTGTCGCCTCCCCAGCGCCACTCGGTGCCGTCCTTTTCCTCACCGCTTGCTTCTCCGCAGTGGTAGAGCAGCGGACCACGGCTGGGTCATTGGTGGGAGCCCCGCTGCTCTCGTTCGGGATTTTTTGCGTTCTCAGGTTAGTTCAACGTCGTCTTCGTTTTGCAACATCATTGCTTATGATCCCAAGGTATTCAGTGTAAGTACGGAACAACCAAGCACTCTGTTCTCATCGTGATGCACCAATTACCGCGCCGTAGACACCAGTGCGCAAGATCCGTTGCAAATTCATGCTGACGTGACTCTCCCCAGCCGCACGGAGTAGTCGAACAACCCGCTTGCCCCACCCCACCTTTCCGTTCGCGGCAGCAATCTCAACCTGGTGCCAGCAACGCACTCGGTGTACGATCTGTGCTGGTCCTTCCTCCTGCCGCTGTCACTGTCCACCATGATTCTTGGAATACGCGTCGTTGCTGTGGGAGAAGAACGACGTCCCGATTTGAATCTCCTTGGAGAAACAAGTGGAGAACGCTCGTCTTGGCAAGGGTTGGCTGGACCAATGGGTCGCGTGGGGCTATCTTTCCTGATCGGAGCCGTTGGGTCCATCGCAGGCGTGGCAGCATCTTTCCGCGTAGCAACCACGAGCGGGGGTTGGGCGGTCTCACTACCACGTGGCACTGCAGCTCAGCTCGCTGGAGTGATCACCGCCTCGTATATCGGGGGAAGCGTGAACCTTTTCGCGGTTGCGTCTTTCGTGGGAATGGTCGGGGTCAAGCTTGCCGGGGGCTCCTCCCTCCTTGGGGCTCTGGCGGCAGCAGACATATTTTTGATGAGTGTGTACTTTTCGTTTCTCGTGGCGGCGCACAAAGCCCCGTTTTTGTGCCGTGTTTTCCCCGGGCCAGGAGCCCCGTCGAGTGCGGTGTTGCAGCAACCCGACGGGATTGGTGAAGCAAACCAACCCAATGCTGTTGCTGCTACCCCGGGGTGGCGCGAGCTGTTTGGATCAACTGCCGCGAACATCTCTACCCTTCTCACAATAGGTAGTGCCATCTGCTTCTTCGGCAACGCGGTGGCTCGCAGGTCGCCCTTGCCCGGGACTTCGACGATGGCCATCACTCTACTGACTGTGGGCGCTACGCGGGTTTTAACTCGTCTAGCCCCGGGCTTTCAGGCACGTCTTTCGCGCACGGCCCCGTTCGTCGCCACGCTACTGTTGAATGTATTTTTTTGTTCGGTGGGCGCATCGGGAAGATGGGTGGAGGTCGTAAGCGTTGCACCTGCGATTTTCATGTTCGCGGCTCTGGCGTTAGCTGTGCACATTGCCGTCATGGCCGCAGGGGCGGCTGTGTTGAATCGCTTCTTCGGAGCGGGCCTTGGTCTCGATGACATCACTGTTGCAAGTAACGCGAACATTGGAGGCCCAAGCACGGCGGCTACGTTCGCTGGACTTCTCGGCAAAGATGACCTAGTTGTGCCTGCGGCGGTTTGGGGCACGGTTGGCTACGCGATTGCTACCACGCTCGGAGTCGGTGTTTGGACAATCCTGCGATGAGACACACGTACATGAAGGATCAGGCAGGCATCGTTGGAAGTTTGGTTCCGGAGAGGGTGCGACGCAATGTCGCATCCGAAGATGAAGATGCGCACTGCGAGTTGTTTCGTTTCGACATCCAAGTGCCTTAGCACACATCGCATGAATGTCAATGGGTGGAAAGCTTGAACGTGCCAAGTGCTCACGACCTTCCTCGGCGCAAGGCAGAGGGGACTTTTCGATTTCAGAAAAAACAGGAAGCCCCGCTGCCCTTCAAGGTGTCGTGAGCTCTTTCACCGAAACGGGCTCGGCCCCAACTACAATACTCCGCTTGGCGATATTCGAGGGTGTGCAAACTCTCTTACAGTCGCCCAACGATAACCCTGCAGGATTTCGCCAAAAAATATCACAGGCAGCCTCTGCGCCTCAATATCAACTAAATTAACGCGCGGATCTCACACAATCTCCAGAGCAACCCTTTGGAAATTTGCATGCCGTACGCATGTTCGCGTAGTTGTCCACCTCTAATAAACGTCGTCAAGGTGAAGCATATGCAACGTGAGTCCCCCTGGCGGCTTGAGCAGCAACGACGACTCCACCTGCGATTTAGTAGCACGAGTACGCACAAGCACACGAACGGGCAAGCGGCTATCATCAAGTCGGGCTTTATCTAGAGCAGGCCTTGCATCTTGCGCTTGCTACTACCCCAGCGAGGTGTGCAAAGGGGATGTGGGAAGGTTAAGCAGGTCATACCATACCCACCAACACACCAACGCACGTCGGCATCGTATCACAACCAGATACAGGTGGACAAGTAGCACAGGCCCACACACGCTAACCCTTCACGTTACCTCGCAAGGCACAGCGTCCTCTCAAGGGCTATACCAATGCACTGCTCTGCGGCTTCACACACGTACGCACAACACACATGTCTTTCTAAATCAACATCGACAGAGCTAGTCGAATGACCAATGAACATATGACAATGGTAGGTTATAGCAAGACAAAACACGCTGTTTCGCGGCGGGTGTTGTAACAGGAGCTTCAGATATCACCACACGTTCGCGCCTAACTTGTTTTCCTCGAAAAAGAAACAGGCAACTTTTTACAGCGCGACATTCTAGCGAGAGCTTCAAGCATCTATCGTCGAACAACACTCGCATCAGAAGAAACCGAGGAGAGGGTTCATGGGTCGTCCCGAAGATATAAGCACACATTGAAGACGAAATGACGCGCAGATTTTACAAAAGGTGAGAACTAACCTTCTCTGCCTGCCGCGCTACGACTTCCCCCTCCGCCTCCCGCTTCTCCCACTGCAACAATAGCTCCGAAAAGCCTCGTAGCGTTGCCGCCTTCGTGTACGGGTGAAGAGGCGATGCAAACAATAACGGGAGCGCCACTGCGCCAGCCGACCGCTGACTTCTGGCGATACCATCGTCGACTTCTTCCGCGATACCCTGCAGACTATCCAACGCGGCGCGGAACAAGCCTTCAGCTGTCACAGCCTCGCCGGCCGCCACGTGACACCGCGCCAACAAGGAGAGCGTCCACGCCTGAGGGAAACATGAACGTCGTCGACAGTTGCTAGCAGCAGATGTTACCTCACTGCCTGGCGGAACAAAAAAAAATCAAACATCTATTCCGTGCACATTTGTTGCCATAGGTTATGTGCTGAAGCTACAGACGATGCAGGGGGACTGGGAAAATTCTGTACTTCAAACGAAGTCACTTGACTCTGGTGACGCTACCGAATGGACGGTAGGTAGACCAACCCGATGGACGATAGATATGAAAAGAAGTTGTTTATTTTTTCTTACCGTTGCCGGATGGCCAATGGGAAGCAGTTGTTCTCTGATCC